CCCCTCCCCGTAGCACCGCCGCTCATCCCGGGCACCTCCGGGCGCCCCGCGGCCGTGCCCCGAGACACACACGCTCCTCCCGGGCCTCCCCCACGCCTCCCGTTTCAGCTGCAATCAGTTTGGCTTCGGCCCAGGTAGGGGGTTTGGGCAGCGCTTGTGCTTTTGAGGATTGATCGGTGCATCGCTAAGCTTCCCTCCACGCTGTAGCAGGCAAGACATGGGAGCATATGGCTCAGAGACGTCGACATATGTTTTAAGCACTACAAGATGGCATATTGCAATTGTAGCAGTGTTCTTCATTTTTATTTTTAGCTCAGTTATACAAATAAGATGTTTTTCTCGCTGTTCAGTGTTATCAACATTTGAAACTATTTTTGTACGTTATTATCCTCTCTGATTTCTAATCCTATGCAGCTTTGCAAGGTCTAATAGGGAACATATAGAACCCATGCAAGTTAAACCTTTAATAAAGAGCAATTTGCAAGTACAATTCTCTCATTATTTTTTTTATCGATACTTCTGCATATTCAGTGAAATCTAAAGATTAGAGGTTTATGAATAATTCAGTGTTTAGGCTGATGCCTGATTCATGTACTTCAAATCTGGGAGCTGGTTTTGGAGGGAAGAGGAGGAAGAATTTGGTGTTTATTTGCTGTCCGCGAGGCTGTGCTCCACCAGAGCCATGCAACGCTTGGTGCTGCAGCTTTCCCACTTGTGGCAGACTTGCCCCGGCACATGCTGGTGATGTCCTGGCCCCGAGCCCACAAGCTGTCATCCCACGCGATGCCCAGCCCTATGGCTGCTACTGGTGGTAGTAGGGGCAAGCGAGGGTTTGGGACCCCTCCCTGCCAGCCCAGGCGGGTGCCAGAGGCATCACGGAGCTGCTGGAGAGGTGATGACTGGATCCAGGAGGAGGAGATGTTTGGAAGAGATGCCACTATCCTTGCGGTGTGCTACCCCTGCAGCCCTCCAGTGTCCCCACTGGTCCCTTCCTGGGGAATTCAGAAATGGACTGGAAATGGAGCAGGGAACAGGCTGGCAGTGCTGGTTCGGGCGAAACCAGGCATGTGGGTCTCCGGGCACTGGGTGCTTCTCCCAACTCCTTGCTCCAGACCTGGCTCCTGCTGGCACCCTGGTCCCCTGCTGGAATCCAGCCCCCGGGCTCAGCAGACCTTGATGAAGGGCTTTCTGGGCAGCGCTTTGCACGTACATTGGCGCACTAACACATCCACTGAGTTGGGCCGTGAACCAGCCCTGCCGTCACGTAATCCCGGCCCTTCCTCAGGCTTGCAGCCCAAAGCAGTGGCTTTGACAGATGATGCATACGAAAGCCTCATGACTCTGTGTAAAGAGGGACTGACGTGGTGCTGTGGAGAAACACAGCGATCCCCGCGGTGGGGACCTTTGCGCTGTTCCTGCACCAAAGAGCAGTTGGTGAATTAGGCTGGTCTCACGAGCACAGACAAAACATAAAGTAGCACAAATATCCTACCCCATGCGAACAGTGGGGAGCGTGTCCCTAGGATCGCAGGAGGACTTAGTTTTAACACGGCCATGACAGAGAAGTGCCCTGGGCGCTTTGGGGACCCCAGATGGCTGAGGGCTCAGCTCACACCTGGCCCATGGGATGATGCTGCCCACGGCATGGGGCACTTACTGAGCCAGGTGCTGGCACAGAGGGGACACGGAGAGGCTGCCTGCATGTGGGGCTAGGAGTGCTCTCCCCCGAGCATGGGGGGATTTGGCAGGCAAGGGTGAGTGGGAGTCCAGCTCACGAGTCCACACCTGGGGCTACTGTGGGAGAGTCGCTCCTCCTGCCTTCGCTGGCCAACAAAGCAGCTCTCCATTTTCCTTCTCTTGTTTGTGGGTTTGTTTCCCCCTCCCCATTATCAGGCTCCCCTGGCAGTGCAGCCCTCCGCTTCCCAGTGGGGCTGTCCTGCGTGAAGGGAGCTGGCACATGACACCAGCACACCAGGAAGGGGTCCCATGCAGGCTCCATGCCATGGGCGGGCTCCCCGTCCGCCCCACGGCGAGTGCCATCAGGAAGCTTCAATGCCAGCACCCTGCCACCCACCAGGCAGCAGGCAGGTGCCTTTCCCCTGCATGGTCAAGGTGATCACCCCACAACCCCTCCAATTTCTCATCCCTCCCTAAACCCTCTGCTTGGACACGCCCCTTCTCCCTCCAGCCCCTGGCAAAGTTTTGGCAAAGGGCACTTGGACTCCCAGCCACCTGCTCCCAACCAGGCAGCAAACAGAGCAATTAGCAGCTGCTAAACAGCCCCTGCAGTTAGGGTGTTAATCAGATAAATTAGGTGGAAGTGAACTGAGTCTGTGAGGGTAGTGGTGCTGTAAGCAGAGTTGGGGCTGCCTGGGGTTTTAGGCTGCTGTGCTTGGGTGTGTGTGCGCACTGCCATGGAGCCTCAGCTGGGTAAGGGGTTTGCTGGGTGCTGTGGGGTCCTGGCAGAGCTGTGGGGTTGGGGCTCTGCTTGGGCTCTGGTGGCCATGGTCCCTGTGAGGCTACAGGGATGAGTGGGGTCATGGCTGCTTGGCTCCTGGGTGTGTGGGTGCCTCAGGGCTGGATGCAGGTACCAAGAGGTGCCTTTTGCTGGCACAGCCCAGCTCCCAGGTCTGCCAGCCCGGGGCCGGCGGCCCCCGCACCCCCCTACCCTGCACATGGTCATTGAGGCGCTGCGGGCCCAGGACCAGAGGAAGGGCGTCTCTGTTATTGCCATCAAGAGGTTCATCCTGGCCAAGTACCCTGCTGTGGATCCCATCCGCCTCAAATACCTGCTGAAGCAGGCGCTGCACAAGGGGCTGAGCCGTTGGGCACTGGTGCGGGCCCACC